TCCGGTTTCTAGTTAAAATGTCTTTTGAAAAGTCAGGATTAAATGTTTTCTTCTCTCAAGTGTCTTTCTGGAATTATTGAGATCATCATGTTGTTTATCTCTTTGACTAACTAATGTAGTAAATGATACTGTTACTTTTATAATGTAGAGCCATTCTTCCACAGCTGGGCAAATGCGAATTAAGTAAGTTGCATCACCTCTTGTATCTGTTGTTGCTCTGCTTATCTAACATATGCATCTACAGGGCGGGAGCTGAACAAGCTGAACAGGCTCGGATGTCCTTCCCACCTCGGAGTTGCACTGTTGGTATCAGGGCTGGGGCAACTCCTTAGAATAAATTCGGAAGTAACCCCTCTCTTTTAATTATCTGAAAAAGTTTGTAGAAATTAAGATGATTTGCTTCATAGGGCCAGCAGGTGGCATGGTGGTTAAGGGCGTTGTACTCCCACATGGCCAACCAAGATTCGAGTCCTGGGTCTGGTGACTTGCTTTCTCACTTTCCCTCTCTCTCTCTCACGCTCTCGCTCTTGCTCTCTCTCTCTCGTTCTCTCACTCTGTCCCTCTCTGGTCAAATTAAAAATAAATAAATAAATAAATACATAAGATTTGCTTCTTAAAGGGCTGGTAGAGTTAACTTACAACTACGTTGGACAGAGGCATTCAATTTCGTAATATTTAAGCCTGTGTATGTAACAGTCCCAATATAGCGATCTGTCCTGTTAATCTAAAAAGCACACTATATAGAATTTTGTGCATAAGAATGTTTATTTCACCCTTGATTTCAAGAGGAAACAAATAGAGCCACCTAAGTGTCTGTAAGTAATGAAATGGCTAAGCCCAGTATTTTCAACCATGGCATATAAGGCAACGATGATAAAAGTACGCTTAATTCTCCATGTTTACATCTACAGAGATGTCCAGCTACACTGTGCAGTAAAAGAAATAATTTTGCCATAGGGAAAAAAGAACAGCTCAGCCTCGGTGGCCCGTGCTTCTAAGGCTGTGTGCTTTGCAGCCTGGACTGCCTGGAGGTGCAGGTTTGATTCCTGGTCGAACCTGAACGTGGGACTCTGAGACCATAACTCCAGCACTCTGGAGTCTGAGGCAAGAGCATTGTAAGATCCCATCTTCAAAAGAAAAGAAAAATGAGAGACCAGCAGATGGCGTAATGGTTACGTTGCTGGACTCCCACATAGTCCACTGTCTTTCATTTCCTGAACCTGGTGGCTTAAAACACACCAGGCACACGTACATGCATGCCCCAAATCCCTAGAAAAGAATGGAGAAGGGACTGCAGCATGGCCAAACCCCTGGGGAGTGATTTCTCACTTTCTGTCTCTCTGCTCTGTCTCTCCCGTGAGTGCACGCGTCCTGTAACAAAAATCTTTCTAAAAGAAAAATGGAAAGCAAAAAGAGAAGAAGATGGTGGTAGTCTGGCCTACATCTGCTCACCTGTGTCCACAGCCGTTCACCTAAGCTAAGAACATGGGCATATATATACGCGTAAGTTTGGCCTGCAAGGATCAGCAGAGCATTGCCATTGGCCCTGGATCCTGGAGCGGGGCCTTACTGCTGAAGGTCCAGCTCCGGCATGGACTGACTGTGGGTCCTCGGCGGCTTCTCTGCGCCTCAGTTTCCTCACTTTTAAAACAGGGATAAGAATAATGCTGAACTCATTATTTGCTACTTTGAGGATTAACTGAATCACCTCATGTTCTGGGCATAGAATAAGCATTCATGGGGCCAGTAGGTTGTATCATGGCTAAGGTGCTGGAGTCCCACATGGTCAACTGAGGGTCGAGTCCCGGACCCGGCGGATTAAAACTCAAGCTGCGTGTGTGTGCGTGCATGCCCAAAATCCCAAGGGGAGAATGGAGGATAAGGGACTGTGGCATGGTCTTCTTGGGGGGGAGAGGTGATTAAAAAAAAAAAAAAAGAATAAGCACTAGGAATGGTGGTACTTTTTATCACTTAAGTGTTCATTCTTTAAGTAATATTACTAAAGTCATATATTACTTATTAGTATATTTTTTAATATACAAAGTAATTTATTATTTATGTAAGGAGTTATTGTTACGGAAGCATATTTTAGGCTGATGAAAGGGACAGCTAGCTGTCACCTATTGCTAAATGTTTTACTATAATTTTGAACTATTTCAATTAATATGATTTACTTTCATAACTGAAAAAGATAACACAGTGGCGATGACGAGCTCCCCAGCTGTAGCGTGTATGTGAGTACTTCCTGGGAATAGCTGAGTCTCCAGGCAGACAGAGGCATCTGTGGTTGCTTTTGATGTTTCTCCAAACAGCATTAAAACGAGTCACGCGCTCTCCCGAAGCTTATCATCATTCCCGCATCAGAATCTGTTCCCACCCCTCCAGAAAAGTACCCGCAGTAGCATGCTCACTTCCTGGCATCGCGATGGGCAGCAGATAAATGAGTATTCTCAGGTCGTAAGTGCCTGGCTCTGGAGCGCTGGGCTTGTGCCACAATCCTCGGCTCCTGGGTGACACGTCCCTTGCATGGGGGTTGGTGGCAAGCCACCCTAATGGTACCTTGTCTGTGAAACTGGCAATTCGCTGGACCTGACAAGACCTCAGTGTGGACCACAGGTCCCTCCTCATGGGGCTGCTGTGAGGACGCCGTGACACATGTGGGTCGCAGCAGGCCACATGGCACTCGGGTGGGGGAGACCACGATGCTGGTAGCTAATTGGCAGGACTGAAATGATATACAAAAGATAGTAGATTTGGCTAAATAATCATTTAAAACTTTCATAATGTAAAAACATTTGAAATAAGAGGAAAAAGGCAAATAACATTTTAAAACGTAATGAAGCACTTTTGTGGATTGATTCCAGTAAAAATATGTAAGATAACACTGACAGGAGGGAAAACCCCGTCAGCTGATGAAAGCTATAGAGGATGCCTCATCCCCGTTCTCCAGACAGCCTCATGTTGAATGTTGCCCTAAGCCGACTGACCTCTCTGCAATCCCTTCCTCGACCTCCTCCACAAGAAATTGACCATCCAGACTAGTCCATTCCTGAACAGGAAGCCCAGAGCACTCAGCTCACCTGCCCTCCTTATCCCTTCGAGGGTCAGATGATTCTCTTCTGCACGGAGGGCCTTGGAAGACCCCGAGAAGGTGTGTCTGGCCATCTGTCCAGACAGCACTGTCTGGGGTGGGAGAAGGGGTGCCGCGGGCTTGGCAATCCGGCTGCACGTCCACCTGCTCTCACTTGAGGCTGCTTCTCCAGCATTGTCTTTACCAAGAATCGAGGTGGCTTTTCAACTACCCATCCCTCGTTGGTCTTATTTCCCAATTTTTGGTCCCATAGACAGGCCAGAGACTGGTCCTCAGAGCCTCCAGCCACACACATGGAAATGCTCAGTTGGACTGATGATCCAATAAATGCACACTCAAACGAAAATGAAAAGCAGTGCCCACCTGCCTCACTGCTCAGGGTGGAGCGGGAGAAATGGCCGCCCTTATATTGCCAGTGGCGACTCTGTCACTGCCCATCCAGGTGGCCACTGGGTCATGGCTATCGCGAGCTTTCAGATCGTCTAGACCAATAGGCCTCCCTGGATGTGATTTCACTTCCAATAACCACCAGGACTTTCCTACAGGCTCTTTGGTACAGGGCCATTCCCAGCCCTAAACGTTAAACAATGGGATGTCAATAAAGGGAATAACTAAATTACGGACCAGCCACAGGCTCAGTCGTGGCTAGATTGTTAACGCAGTGTTAAAATGAGCTAGCCCAGGGTGTGGTGGTTAAGGTGGCTGGATCCCACATTGTTGACGGGGTGGTTTGAATCCCAAATGTGGCAGCTTGAAACAGACACCGAGCACGTGTGCATTTGTGCCTGAGAGGAGAAACGGAGAAGAGACTGCCGTGCGACTATACCCCATCAGTTGTGCTTTCCCATTTTCCCTGTCTGGGTCTTTCTCCAGGAAGTGCAAGCACCCTCTAACAAATTAAAAAATAATAATAAAAAAAGGTGTTAAACATTTCCTAATGTTACTGTGATGTAACATTAACTAACAACACCATATGCAACATTATTGGGAATGTATAAATAATATGCTTTTTAAAATTAAAATTTAAATTTTAGTTTGCTAAAGGTGTGTGCACCCCGCAGAGTTAGGGAAAGTGAGAAATCACCACCTCCCCACAGGGGGGAAGGGGGGGATGGCCATTCCACAATCCCCTCGCCTCCATTTTCCCCTTGGGATTTTTTATCTGAAAAGAGATACTGGGCCTTCTCTTTGGGGGGTTGGATTGAGAGGGATATCTATCTTTGCTTCTGTATTTTTCAACATTGTCACATTGTCTGCAAGGCAAGCATGCTCTTTAATAAAAGGAAAAATCCAGAACAGTCTTGCACTGATAGAAGGTGAAATCAGGCCTGTAGGAACAAAGAAGGCGGATGCCGTCCTGGGCTGGTTGCCTGGGCCTGTCAGGAAGAAGGAGATTTAAGCACTGAAGGCCCCAACTGTCGCAACGGAGGAGACAGCTGGCCAGTGGGGGCACCTGCAGTGCTCACGGGGGAGCCGCAGGACGAGTGCCCTCCATTCCTTCATGGCCGTCACCTGGTGCTGCCCCTGGTCAGGACCCACCTGCTGGAGCTCCTGTTTCACCTGTGCACTCCATGCACCAGGGTCAGAGAGCGCACACTTACCGATTGTGAGCTTAGGGGCCACTGGGCCAGGCCGGAGGTGCTCCCTCCTCTGTCCCAGCTGCACCCAAGGATGGAAGTTTCCTCTGTGGCCAGTAGAGGGCCCTGTGGTGCAGAGCGGGCGTCCAAGGGCTGCGGAGACTTTGGTTCCAATTGCTGTTCTGTCTTTTCCCAGGACCTGCCAAGTCCACGCAGTAACGTGGGCAGGCAAGGCCTCATCACTGGGCCACTACCAAGATCCCGCTGAAGGGAGATCTGTGGCTGCGAGGGGTGATGCACTTCCTTCCACGCTTTCTTCCTTCAGCATAAACTCCCAGGCAATGCACTCCCTCCCTCAGACTTTCATCCCTCCAAGGGGACTTGGTGTTTGCTCCACAGGTGGTCGCCCCTCCCAGGTCTGCCACCTGCACTGCTGCTGCTCAGTGATCTTAAAGGCCTGCT